CCAGTGTACCCTACAAGTGTTTTTATGTTCATACATTTTGTTCAGTCCTCCATCTACCATTACGCGAAACGTGACACATTGTCTCTATTAATGGCTAAATACAACACTAATTTATAGGGAACACAACAACAGAACACATCTTTTGTTTTAAACAATAGTCCGGTAGGCTCCCCAATGTCACATATGAAAACGCCACAATGCACATTCCCTACTGTCCAGAATTATACAGTTGCCAAGTTGTCTTTATGAAATCAATGAAGATATATAAATAAGTGTCACTTCATGAAACAACTCTGCTTCACTGCTTTCAAAGATTTGGATGTCAAAGTCCCATGTACAGCAATACAGTATTGGACAGCTGTATGGACAATTTCAGGGTAACGCTTCACTCTTTTCTGCCATGCTGAAGTTACAGTTCATAAATCCAGTGAAGTTATTCATTGCAATCATTTTGAAAAGGGTCCAGATACAGAATTTAGTTGTTTTTTTCTATTGCTCCTTTCTAACGCAGCTACATTTTTAGTGAAAATCAAGTTATGCTTGTTTTTCAATTGTTTTTCTTGGATTTTTTTCCCTCTACTTTCCTTCCTAGGGCCATTGCAAAGATTGTTCAATATTGGCAAAAATGCTTGAGAAAACTTCTGTTGATGCTCAGTAAACAGGACACAATTATATTTAAAATTGAACAACCTGCCAAGGGACTAGAGATGGACACTAGTCAACAGCTATAATCTGTCATATTTACATGGAAATGTTTATTTACGGTCTCCTTTTCAATCAAATAAATAAATAATGGAGTAAATGAATAAAGAAGTTATTAAAATAGACATATTGCTCCATCTTGTTATTGGATCAGGGATCGGTTAGCATTTTTTTTCGAAGACTGCCGAATGGTGATCGGTCCCGAAAATTTTGATCGTGTAAAGCCGAATGGTTATGTTGTATGTGTGAGCGGGGTGCAGACTTGGAATAGAATAGACCACTCAAGATCGTCTTGCATGTGCAAAGTTGTTTAGAGTAACAATGTTACTATTTTTTTTTATGTCTATTTTCATATTTGACTTTAAATTAATCCCACGTGAAAGATAAAGCATGAAGCGGACATTTGTGGTGATTGCAATAATTCAACCACACACATGTAAATTTCCCCAGTGTGGGACAAATAAAAGATATCTTATGTATCACGTGTTCATTAGCAGCAAGTGCCATTTTAAAAAATGACCTTGCATTACATTTTGTGTGAGTGCTGTCACCATACTGATGCCTTAACTGTGACTTCTGTTTCGGGACCTCGATAGGCAAGTTTTTTGTTTTGTTTTTTTTTTTTTCACTGATTAGAAGCTTATGTTAATCCTATTAAGGAATTTTTAGTTTATATTTCACTGCAGTGGCAGGAACATGAGCCAACTAAAGTAAATCACATTCCCTTGCAATTCCCCCCTCTGATCTTCTTTCACCGTATCCGTTTAACACAGCAGGATCAGAGAAAAGTCTCTTTAAGACTCTATTTTCCGCATGGGTGCCACATCACCCGCCTCCCTCCCAAATCAATTTCCCGTTAATCCTGTGTGGTAGTTAAAGAGTTGTGGGATTATGGCACACTGGTCCACTCCTCCAAATCCGAATGATTTTGTTGGTGGAGATGACAGTGTTAAAGCTGAGCTGTGGTCACGCGACAGCATCTCTCAACAGCTTAGAGCAGCAAGAAAAAAAAAATGGCCTTTTGTTTTTGCTCCATGGCTCCCCCTACGTTTGTACGGTTCGCAGAATGCACACAAACACAACACATGAGGTTTCTGGGATATGCTAACAATATTAGAACTAATTAAGACTATCTGCGGTCACTATGGCAACAAAAGAAATGTGATTATCTTCAAGCCTTACATGCTGAATAATTTTCAAGTTGACCAAATATATTGTTAATATTGGCACGCAATGTGACATGGTTGCGTACGGAAGAGCATTAGGGCCAATGAAGATCCTCGTGTTGTTTTCCTTCACGGAGGGGCAAGCTGGTAAATGACGAAAGTTTGCTGCACGCGCCCACCGCTGACCAACAGTGCAAGTTCAGATGCATTTGATTTTAGCTTGAGCTATTCATTTAGAATGGTATTTCCCAAACAGGCGTACACAGTGTATGCGGGCACAATGGGGATACCTGGAAATATTTAATCATTTCCAAAGTATTTTCCATATCAATACCCTGTGGCACAACCGCGCCAAAATCACAATAGGCGTGTGTGGGAGGGGGATGTAACAAAGGCAGGTTTATTCTTCACTTTGATTTAATGTATGCAAATTTAATATGCTACTGATTTCATTTCAAGGCAACACGATTTTCATTTTTATGTTTGAATGAAAAAGGAGAGAACAGCAAAGAATTAAATGTTTGTATGAAGGAAACAAAATGAACTGATTTTCATTTCATCATCAATTGTGTTGCGTTGTACTTTTGGAGAATCATCAACAGGCTAAGAGTTAGGGGGTTCTGGTGGTCGGACAAAATAGTTTGGGGGGACACAAGTCATAAAAGGTTGGGAACCACTGCTTGAGAAGAGGAAAAGCTGTGAAAATAACGACAGCGTTGTGGCCACACAGCCCTACATCATAAATACATGACGGATGAAACACTGAATTGGTGATTGTTTTTCAGTCTGCGTCAAAGTCCACTGAAAATAAAGTGATCAATGTACTTTAATCTGGACAGTAAAACAACTCTCTTTTTGAAATTTGCTGAAGACTTTGAATCACAATTTCAACGGAATGTACAAGTGAGACGTTGATCTTCAGGCTCAGTTGAGAAAGTTTGCTTCATGATCATTGCCACTGGTAGCAAATTCTTTGAGAGAATCCAGACATCATATCAGGACATCAAAGGTCACAGTGTATCACAAATGGAAAATAGTGAAAACTAGAGCATTTAACAATTTTCTGGGCCACTTTACTCTGCTGAACCTTGGCATGGATGTGTGACATAAAACTGACAGCTAAGTCCAAGTAGTCCAAACTTGGTGGTACAGTGCAGGAAGTTTTAGCCAAGTGTAACTTCCTGGAGACCTCATCACACCCACTAATGCCGAGTAATGTGTGTGCATGTGCGTAAATGTGAACATGTGCTAATCTATTATTGATTTCCTGAAGGAAGGAGAACATGGCTGTCGTTACTCTTTAAAAGGGGCCAAAGTGGGAGTATGTTCCTCATTTTCATTTCAGCTGAGTTTAAAGAGTTCAGATAAGTTATTGAATATAAATTTAAGAGAGTCGCACTGACTGAAAAGCTACATGCATAAACTCTTGTCATTTCACAATAGGTTTGGATGATATGTATATATTTTTTTTTTCGCAGAACTTTACGATTTCTGCCTTGACCATAACATTACTACTGAAACTAAAACTGAGTGATTTAGATATTGTCAGTTACAGTAGTTACTGATTTAATAATATTACTTATTGTGAATGTAGTACAAGTTGAAACTGTGCCCACAGTTATTACCGTAGTTAGTGCAGTGGTGCATGGTGGCACAGCAACATGGCTGAAACATTTACTCATATTCTGGTCACCTTATTCAGCCAAGGAAGGGACTAAATATTTTAAAAAACAGCTTCACAGTTTTATGGTACTGCAAATACACACACACAAGAATAAAAACTGCATTTTCTGACTATTTCCATACCAGAAGCTGAAGCCTAGTGCAGCTGACTTCCGGTGGGAGATGATAAACATCCTGGACTGACTAACTCATCAATGACAGGACTGTCACATGTAGCTCAACCCTTCACACTCACAATATGCACACACAATTTACAGCCTCAACTCAACAAGGAAAGAAATTCAAACCCACATCTCAATCTTCTTTCACTGAGGTAGCCAGGACTCCCAAGATTAATAAATATATACATGAACAATACATACACACATAATACATGAACAACACTGCTTGACCTTGTATAACTGCCCTCCCAAGAACTCGCAGCCATTAATGGACTGTTATAGACTAGTGGGTAAATAGTGGCTGTTTGAGTGCAACACAAAAATGTGGGTGTGCGCGTGTGCGCGCAAGCACTGTTGATCCTTGCATTCCAGTGGAAGCCTTGAGAGCAGCTAATCCAGTCTTAGTCAATGGCCTCTTGAACTCTTGGGTCACACTCTCTCTCACACACACACACACACACACACACACACACACACACACACACACACACACACACACACACACACACACGAACTCCCGCACACACACAAACGCACGCTAAGTAATTACATGTTTGTATCTGCATAGTTCTGCGATTTGTGTGCTTTTCCTCAAAAGATTCACACTCCCAGACAGGAAATGTCACTTCTTTCTTGTTATTTCAAGTTTTAATTCGTCAAGTTCAGAAAATCCATCGGTTCAGTTTAAGTACTAATTTTATTTATCTCGAAAAATGCATTAATTATAAAGTAATTACTGTATCAAGTAGTGCTCCCTCGCTATTTCACGCTCTGCTTCACTCAATCGCACATTCGTGACCATTACTTCATGTAATGCAGTTGTGGCTCACTAATTTGTGGGTTTTCTTGCAATTTTTTCTTGTTCAACCAATCTTTTTTTTTTAGGGCAAATTTGTTTTAGAAAAACTGAGAGCATGAACATTAGACAACGTGTCGTGTGAATGCGGATGGTTGTTCGTCTGTGTGTGCCATGCGATTGGCTGGCAACCGGTTCAGGGTGTCCCCCGCCTACATATATAAAACTTTTTCATGCACCCTGTAACCTGATAACATGATAAGCTGTCCACTGTAGTAACCGCTGTCCCTGAAAGGGATAAGATAAGAAAACCTTTATTCGCCTCACAATGGAGAAATTCCCAATTCGCAGCAGCAAAGTTATGAAAGGAAGAAGTAGAAGAACAAAATGTCTATAATACATTATATTGTATGTTTTATATATAGGATATCTATAAAATTAATAAAAGTTGCTCTGTTTTTGGGGGGAAGGGGGGTTGGGGTTTTTTTTTGGTTTATTTTTTTGGAATGAGTTGTCTCTTTGACACTCAAAACCCTTCTTTCATGAATGACTGAATTTTGTTTTAGTTGTTGTTAGTTTTAATGAAACAAGTTTTCAAATGTTAAATTATTTGAGGTGACATACAAACACACTTGGAACATTTGTTTGAAATATCTGATTCAAATGAGCAAGACCGTTATCAGGCTTCCGTTAAGTTTGCTGATGAGCTTTTTGATCGTTTGAATTGAGTGTGTTGGAGAAGGGAGACAGTGAAAACAGGGTGGAGTGGGGCTCTCTAGGACCGGACTTGGGCACCCCTGCTAACTACATCATAAATGTTAATTCCTAAAGCAGATAACGATGTAACGTTGTACTGTTGTAAGCTATCTAGTTGTGTTACAAAACATTTTGATTTCCTATACAAGAGAAAAAGTCTTGCTAGTTACAGTTTTAATACTTGAATTCGACACACCGTTGTCAGGAAAAAAGGACGGATTTTATTTTACATCATATGTATGTAAAACGTGTTCTCTTCATTGTAGAATGTCGATCCAGTTCCCGCCGGATGGCAAATGTTTACGTTTCCCATCCGAAATGCTGCCGGGGCCGCTTAATGTCTCCAGCACTGATAAACAAGAAAACACAATGTAAAACTCATGAATGCTAATTGCAGAATCAAAGTCAGGAATTCTTTATCCCTGAAGTAAAATATTTGTTGGTAAAGTCCTTCCAACGGCAAATTAAAGATGACAACATTGTTGCAACATATTGGCTCGATATCTAAAGTCACGTGAACAAGTGTTTGTGCCCCCGTCCTGATTTATTTTTGTGCATGTTTGTCAGACTTCAACGTTTCTCATTATCAGACAAATTTAAATGGTCAAAAACAGCACAAAATAGAAAAAAAAAATCATAATGATAATAATCCAAACCTACATGGCCCTGTGTGTAAAAACAAAACATTTTAGGTTTACTTGTGTTATCTTTGTCTGAGCTTTACATTTCTTTGATGATCTGGCACATTAAAGTGGGGAAACTATGCAAAAAAATGAGAATTTGAAAAAAGGGGCAAATCATTTTTCACGGCAATGTGTCATACATACCGTTAGCTAGTTCTCTTCCAAAACCTAGTACACCGCTGGAGAGGGAAAAACTGTTGGCAATTAGCTTCAGAACTGTCACGAAAGGCTGCTGACGCTTTGAAAATATATCACCTGCTTGCAGCTACACTGTGCAATGACGTTTCAAATTTTCTATTTTGATCCTTCCATTGAGCACTTCACTCGAGCCTGTAATGTCAATTTGTGTTTCAGAAAAGTAAAGAAACAAAAATGTTGTTGACATGTATACTCAATCAATCTGTGTTATCATTTTGAAGCTCAGCCCACTTACCGTTTGCCAAGAGAAGTGCAGCAAGGGTGCGTTTCACGTCAGACGACAGCACCCCGTGGAGGTGAAATGTTTAGAGTCTTCCTGCACCGCCGCCGCATTGGTATTTCTTCCACCAGCAAGTAAACAAGGGACAGACGACAGCAATGCAAATTGCGACTTCGCAACAAGCATCATTCTGTGATCAAGTGAGTGAAAATGAAGCCGATTTGCTTCATTTGCTTGCAACCCACGTAATTACGGGTGTAAAGGGGCATCACTTCAAACGCGTGCGCAAAAGCAGACGACGTCGGGGCCGGCCTGTTACAGTGTGAACCACAATCACTCGATCGGGCCAATGGGCCAAAGCGACAGTCGGCCACATTGGCCAACGGCGGATTGGTGGGTAGAGGCCCAAAGACATACATTATTTCTATCAAAGGCCATCATTAAGGACATTTTGATAGCGCATTGCATACACACATTGTCCAAAAAAGCCCTTTACTAAATCAGTTCCTGCAAAGTGATGTTGTTGACTGTGCAAGTGAGAAGATGCATTATTCTTTTAAGTCGTAGGAATGCTGTAGGCAGCCAAAATGTGACTCTTATAAGGCGGCAGATTTATAGCAATAATAAAATGTACTTAGTACAGACCACGCATTTGGGGCTTGAGATGTGCGTGAGCAACGAGGACCATTTTCTTCCGTGACCTTTGGCCCGTAAACACACTGAAGCAGTTAGGCAGACGATCCGCAACGCCCGCCCTTTGTGAGTTGCGAGACTTCCTGGAAATTTCTCACACAAAGAAAACTTGAAGTTATCATTTGGGGAGAAAGTTTGCGCATGCCCGTGAGGTCACTTCTGGATTCCTATGCACTTGATTTGATTCTTTAAATTGTGCCAGATGTGGAAATGCAATACTGTACTGTGACATATAACAGCTGGGGCAAACTTTGGTTTGGCTGGGCTCCTCAGGTCAGCAAGAGAGGCCCACCGATGTACAGAATGGCGATGGAGATCAAACCTACACTTGATACAGCAACAACATTGTGTCTCAAAGACAGACAACGGCGGAAACGTAGCTAACCTGTTTCTCGCACTTACTGAGCAACAGCCTCTGCTGAACATATTTCTAAAACTGGGGTAAGAGCTTAACATGTAAATCCTCTCTAGAACTTTCTCCTCCTTCTGCTCGTTATTTTTTTCCTCGCTGCACCCTTCCTCCAACTCCATAAAAAGACAACTCTCAAGGAGGCTGGACTTGTTTTTGGTTGTTGATAATAAAACAAGCGCTGCTCAACCCCACCCCACTGCACCGCCATGCAACAGGTCCTGGTGAGGAGAATTGCAGATGGGCGGTGTTGTCATGACGAGCTACCTAGTAGTGAAAACGCCAAGAGGCACTCCTAAACTCCTGCAATGTTACACAGTTGCGGCCACAGCTACGACGCCTTCAAGTACCCGCTCAATAAATTCAAAAGGAGTCACGTTTACCCCTGACAGATTCTCACTTGAAGTTTTAAGGTGAGAAAACATATTCAGAGCATCAACACTGCAGTCTTACCATTATGTCTGCTGGCTGCTCTATCCCGGTTAAAGTATGCTTCAGAAAACTTGTGATCAGTGTAAACACACTCACAGCACCAATGACTAAGAGGACACATGGGGTTGACTGCTGATACACACACACACACACACACACACACACACACACACACACGCACCACACGCACACGCACACACGCACGCACACACGCACGCACACACACATTTATTTGGGAACAAAAGGAAAATGGAGTGTTTGTCCTCCTTTCACAATAAAGCAGTAAAACAGAATTTTGTGCATGCCTGTTTGTGTGTGTGTTTGTGTGTGTGTGTGTGTGTGTGTGTGTGTGTGTGTGTGTGTGTGTGTGTGTGTGTGTGTGTGTGTGTGTGCATGTGTGTGTTTTAAAATCCGCCAGCTCTATTTGCCCTGGGAGCGGCCGTGCAGTAAAATAAACACATCAGAAAGTAGAAAGACAACAGGAACGTAATAATATTTGGCTCACGATGAAAAGAGCACGATCGGTGTCATCAAGGTGAAGACAAGCCGCAGCAAAGTGAAATGTGTGACGTCAAAGTGGGATTAAAAAAAGGGAGAATTTGGGGACGTCTATAAACACAAATGCCGCACGAAGAAAAGACATTTTTTCTGTTTGTGGCTGGTGATGAGAAACAGACGCAAAATGACACGGGATTCCAAGACACATACATAAATTAAGATGGGTGATCAATCTTTTCAGAGATACGCGTCTGCCGCAACGTGCCCCATTTTCAACACACAGCTTTTGCTTCGTTCCGCAGTAAATGTGCTGACTGAGTGTTAGGAGTTCAATACATAAATGCGATAAAACTCGGAGATGATCCCTCTTTAAAGCAGACGTCAAGTCAAAAAAAAAAATCTTTGCACTATGGTTTATGTGACCCCACTATCTATCTCAGGGGGCTATCACTACCTGCTGTTGACTGAAACCGACGTCAAAGTAGCCACGGACTCACCCAACCAAACCCAGAGAACAGGTGAGCTGTGACGTTCGCAAGAACGAACTCGTACTTCAAAGTCATTTTCACTTGACAGCAGGTGGCAGTGCTGCATAAATTGCCTGAAAGAGGGTCGATTTACAGATCTGCTGAATTCCAACTCCACAAATGCAATATTCATCAGAACACCATGTTTAGAATGGTGGAGACCCATAGAGCACGTCACTGCAAAGAAAATATTGGACTTAACTTCCGCTTTAACGCTTTTCGGTGCTGTCATTGTGTAACAAGATGACACCACGTGGCGCATGTGACTGATGCCTCAGCATCGATTTCACGGTCCTCACTTCTTTTTCACTTCCTACTGAATGTGACTGGCAGCCAGGACAGATGTTCAGGCAGCAACACAATCACTAGAACAGCGGTTCTTAACCTGGGTTCGATCGAACTCCAGGGTTTCGGTGAGTCGGTCACAGGGGTTCGACGGAGCGTCTGCCAACGTGACTCAACATGTTACTTTGTTATGACAAGCCCGCTTGGCCATCACTGGCTGCAGATGATCACATGACATTGCATGTCCAATCAGTGCTGTGGGAAATTTAGTTCGCTGAGTAGTCAACGTGTGACTGTAGTGATAGTACGTCGTACAATTTAAAAAAAAAAAGTACACTTATCTCTTGAAATGTTATTTACTTTTTTTCTGTTTTTAATAAATGCGTTTTTTTTTAATATCTTGAATTTGTAAAAAATATATATGTTTATTTTTTACTCATGAAGGGTTCGGTGAATGTGCATATTAACTGGTTGGTTTTCGATACCTCTAAAAAGGTTAAGAACCACTAGACATTTTTTCTGTTTGTGGCTGGTGATGAGAAACAGACGCAAAATGACACGGGATTCCAAGACACATACATAAATTAAGATGGGTGATCAATCTTTTCAGAGATACGCGTCTGCCGCAACGTGCCCCATTTTCAACACACAGCTTTTGCTTCGTTCCGCAGTAAATGTGCTGACTGAGTGTTAGGAGTTCAATACATAAATGCGATAAAACTCGGAGATGATCCCTCTTTAAAGCAGACGTCAAGTCAAAAAAAAAATCTTTGCACTATGGTTTATGTGACCCCACTATCTATCTCAGGGGGCTATCACTACCTGCTGTTGACTGAAACCGACGTCAAAGTAGCCACGGACTCACCCAACCAAACCCAGAGAACAGGTGAGCTGTGACGTTCGCAAGAACGAACTCGTACTTCAAAGTCATTTTCACTTGACAGCAGGTGGCAGTGCTGCATAAATTGCCTGAAAGAGGGTCGATTTACAGATCTGCTGAATTCCAACTCCACAAATGCAATATTCATCAGAACACCATGTTTAGAATGGTGGAGACCCATAGAGCACGTCACTGCAAAGAAAATATTGGACTTAACTTCCGCTTTAACGCTTTTCGGTGCTGTCATTGTGTAACAAGATGACACCACGTGGCGCATGTGACTGATGCCTCAGCATCGATTTCACGGTCCTCACTTCTTTTTCACTTCCTACTGAATGTGACTGGCAGCCAGGACAGATGTTCAGGCAGCAACACAATCACTAGAACAGCGGTTCTTAACCTGGGTTCGATCGAACTCCAGGGTTTCGGTGAGTCGGTCACAGGGGTTCGACGGAGCGTCTGCCAACGTGACTCAACATGTTACTTTGTTATGACAAGCCCGCTTGGCCATCACTGGCTGCAGATGATCACATGACATTGCATGTCCAATCAGTGCTGTGGGAAATTTAGTTCGCTGAGTAGTCAACGTGTGACTGTAGTGATAGTACGTCGTACAATTTAAAAAAAAAAAGTACACTTATCTCTTGAAATGTTATTTACTTTTTTTCTGTTTTTAATAAATGCGTTTTTTTTTAATATCTTGAATTTGTAAAAAATATATATGTTTATTTTTTACTCATGAAGGGTTCGGTGAATGTGCATATTAACTGGTTGGTTTGGTACCTCTAAAAAGGTTAAGAACCACTCTGCTAGAATAAGGCTGCATTAAATTAATGTGATTCAATACTGGCGTGTAATAAAGACAATAGCTTCTCTGTTGGTGCCCTGGTAAATCCACGATGATCTATTTTGACTCTCCGTAATATCGGTGGTTAAGTGTGAACACCTCCAGTGTTGTGGCAGTGCAAACATTACTCTGCACAGCTCAGTGCAGTTCTTGTACACAACGAGCAAGAGCTGTGATTTCATTCGTGGGCTTGATTTGTTTAGCTTCTCGGCATGCACGTTTATTGTTGTGCTGTCGACTCAGTGGGCTCTATATTTGTAGACATACATGGCAATGGCGAGTGATGAAAAAAGCGGAAGGGGCGTGGCCTGGACGGGGGCGTGGCCTGGGCGGGGGCGTGGTTACTTACAAAAGTGGCACTAAACATGCTGAAGATGAAGTGTATTAAATTTACACAGTTTGAAAACTGAACAAAAAAAAATCCCAAGATCGCCACTATTCTTTCAAGTGAAAATTTGTGCAATTTTGCCTATGCATTCCTGGTGAGCACCAATATGTAACTCCAAATTTGCTGCTCAAAATCAAAACTAAAAAAGTAAACACATTCCCTGCCATATTTAAGATT